GAACAGTGCTTAAAGTGAACACGTATGCATTTAGCTGGATCAGGGTGGTCTAAAAGTGGATGTATATTTAACTGACGTATCTAAAGACCAGCAGCAAAACACATATATTGGTCCATAAAATAAAGTGCTTGCTAATTTCAAATTTTTCCTTCCTGCCTGCCTGTCCCCCCCTCCCCAGTTACACCATGAGAAATAAAGAAAAAACAGTTCTTTGGCAAAGTTTTAGTATCCCAGTTTTAGAAGGTATTTTTCTTTTCAGAACCACTTTCCCACGCAACAAATGCATCTTAAAACGTCTTAACCAGTGAGTGAAGATCTCATGCCATGAGAACATGATAACAGTCATTTCACTGTCAACATATTCTCTCCCTCCAAAAGATTAATCAGGAGGGTTGCCATAACCAAACTGCATAATGAAAGCAAGAAGGATTCTGCATACAATATTCTTTTCAGAAGAGGCATATAAAATTTTTAAAACAACAGTTCAGAAAATCAGATTCTTCTCTCCAGAAGCTAAATATTTGGACTTGGCTTAACTTGTATTCATTTTATTTTTTTGAACGGTGATGATAATTATGTATTTACAAGGAACATGTTAAATATCACATTCCAACAAAGCAGTCAAAAAAATTCTTACCAAAAAGAATGATTAAATGCACCTTTCTCCTGTGATCACAGATAGGTTTATTCATTTTTTCACAACTAGTAATAACTAGTTAAATTCATCCCCTGCCACTGTCAAATCGCACAGAAGAGTTTCCTCGCTTCATTCCCTCAGAAATGTTTTTGACTGGCACAGTCATTAAGTCTTACAAATGTATTGTTTTTTTTCAGTAGTCAAACAAGGGAACGCTGTGCACTGATCTCATTGAAAAGGTTATCTTTTGAATAGAAAAAAACTACAAAACTAAACCCAGAAAAAGTGCTAATATATTGTTATGAATTTTTTGAAGAAACAAAATTGTACCTTGCTCGCACAACAGGATCTAGTAGTAGACCACACTCTCGGCAAGTGTACACAGATTTGTGGACATATTTTAATGTAATACTAGTATATTGGAATCATTCCAATAGTCACATCATTGAAATCTTTCATGCCTGGTCCTACCCACCACATAGAAAAAGTACTTATGTGGCACTAACAGCTAAATCCTTCTTACACATCAGACAAGCTTTGAAAATCTAGGTCATTTCTGATTTTTTTAATGTGCTGGCATACCCTAGATATTCGTGGATTCGCGGTGCAAATATTCAAACCCACTCTCTCTCCATAGTGTATAGTGTTACAGTGGCAGCGGCATCTGCGTGAGCTCTGTGCCTGCTGCCACCGGGCTTCCGCCGCCACCAGCGCATGCCGTTCATGAATGCAGATATTCATGAACGTATTCATGGATTTCCCCATTCACGGGGATCTATTGAATGTATGCCCCATGAATGGCGAGGGTATCCTGTATTTAATAACTTTCACAGCATCAAGTGACAATGCTCAAACTGTGTTCAGTAAATAGAGGTGTAATCTATACATATATTTCACTGTTGGTAGCTGCTCATCCAGTATGTTCAAACCAAAGGTTTGTTTAGTTTAGTCAGCACGGTCTACAGGGGCACTGTATGTTCCCTTCATATCCTCATGTTTCCAGCCAAGGGGCAAAATTGCCACGTTACTTATTGGCTTCTTTCCCACCTCAAAGACCATGGTGTATAGATTATGAAGTACCAGAGATGGGGGAAGGTCAGGAAACATATATGTAGCCTAAGATCTTGAAGATCATCAGTTATCAGATGGATAAGTAACTTTTTAAATTTCTTCAAGTGATAATTTGTATACCTCTTCTGCTGTCAGCAACTCCCAAGTTGCTTTTTTCCAATTGGAGGGGATGCTAAGCATCTAAGATAGTGATTCAGCAGAGACCTGTCAAATTTGGCATCACCTCTTGCAACTTGTATAAGTGTATACTGCTTGAAGAATGTTTTCTCAAATCTCATTGACTACTCAAATGTCTAAAGCTGGGGAAAGTGGAGTGCGCTCTTACTGGATGAACTAACATTTTCCCAAGTGGCCATTTCCAAACCACAGTGAAGTAGGTGCACTGATCTAAATAGATATCTAAGTCAAGATTCACTTTAGATCCTCTCAACCGGAACCATAGAGAACCTTGAACTTTCTGAAGTTTCTCGTTTTGTAAAAAATAATACAATTAAGACATACATTACAACGAGGGTAAGAGGAATAATGTATGTTCCTTTTTTCCTTTATGAAGAAAAAAGGATTACAGTTATGAATATATGACATAAAATTGGAATTATTTTAAGAAGAAATCTCAGGTACATTTTCATGAGAGCATTATCCTTTTGAACAAATTCTGCACTCAAAACATGAAGTTAATTCACTTCTGTAAATCATTCCCAAGAGAAAATTCTTTTCACAGACAGATAAAGGAAGGGTGCCCAGGCCTATAGGCTCAAAGCAAACATCAGTTAGTTTGGAAAGAGCTAGATTTAAAACCATAAAGGGGAATTTTCCCAGTAGGAATATTGTGATCAAATGTACCAGCACAGGAAATAATCTGGTTTGTTTAGGATAAAAACAAACAGGACAAAATGTTCTGTATTTTGGGAAGTAATGGACAGACATGACAAGCGCATCCCCTAGAGGCAACAGCCTGAGTCCATGCTGCTGTAACAGCAGCAGCACCAGACTGCAGAGAGCTGGGATAGGTAAGATTCCATTCCCCCTACCCTTCTCTCTCCAGCATAACCTCTCCTGTATGAAGCCCTGCATCATAGGAAGCCCTCTTTGGACAAGCAGAATGAGGGACCAATTCCATGTCTCCAGAGTCCACAGGTTCATAATTTTCATACTATTCCATTCTCCTGAACATCATTATTTCTTGGACATAAAATCATGTTGAAATATGCCCAACTAAATTTATCATTATGTAAAAAAACCAGGAAGTGAATTAATCCAGATTAGGGTGACGAATTGATACAGAGAATTTAAAAATATATTTACAGCCTTAGGGAATCCAAACTAGTTTTATAAATGAAAGCTGAAAACTTGATGATAACTTAATATTAAAAAATGCTATGAATACCATAAAGATTTTTCAATGAGGAAATTCATGCCAGTGTCAGATACCAACTACATGCTAAAATGATGAAAAAGAATGACTATGGATTATCTCCAGGTACTGTACCAGTATACTTATTATTGAAGATACATGATTTATTTAAGTATATGAAATTTTGAGAATATAAATATACTTACTCTCTGATAGCTATTTTTTCAGAATGTCTTGAAGAAACAGATGACATGCTTTGGGACATCTAGGAAAAATGAAATAAACTACTAAAAATATTGACTAAATATAATACAATGTATATTGCACTTGAGTTGGGTCATCTATCAAATCAAAACAACAAATAGTAAAAGACATGTAGCACTCCTTTTAGCTTTTTGGCTATTTTGCTTATTCAGGCTAATTTCCTTCCTCTAGTACCTTGTTTTTGTCAGTTTAGAATATCAAATTTTTGGGAGAGGGAAGGAATCATATAAGGAGTTATTAGAATATAAAAGGCAAGAAAAACTACAAAATGGCAATTCTTTGCATCATAAATTATATTCACAAACATTCACAAGTTAAAAATATAGGAAAAGAAAATTTGATACACACACAAAGAGAGCAAAGTACCTATCAAGTATAAGAAAACTCCTGCAGAAGTTTAAGAAGCAACTACTTTTATACTAACAACACTAGTAGAGTATCAAGGATCCAGAGAAGAGAAAGGAAGAAGGAAGAGAGAAGGTCGAAGTTAAAAAATTAATGTTGAACAAAGCTCAAATAGAATTTTAAAAATGATCATGATAATTTTGGAATGCATCATGAAATTAGTGAGAAACAACCTAAAGCATTGTACTGGATGAAACATAGATCACGATCCTCAACCAAGGCACAATGGCACTTTGGGCGTTATGAGATCATTCCAGGGTGCCATGGCACTCGGCCCTTGTGAAAGGAAGTGCTTGCTTCTCCCCTGCCTAGCTCCCATGCAAGTCCTGTGGAGAAGGTACTCATCCACAGCTGTTCCTGTGGGGGCACCTGCTTCTCTTGCCATGCCTCAGTTCCCAAGCAGCTTCTGTGCTGGCCACTCCCACACTTCAAGCAGTGTGCACTGATGTGGCAAGTGGGAGACCTAGGGCTGCATTTTTCAGGCTGGCTCATAACCCCACTCCTTCCATGTTCCCAGGGCTGGCATGAATACATTTTGAGTTTCTTGCAGAGACAGAGAAAGCAAACCTGAAGCCCCAGAATGAGAACAGAACTGGGACTTCAACTGACCAAAAACTCAGTGGAGTTTGAGTCTTTAAAACACTTCCAGGAAGGGTTTTGCACAGAGGTTTAAGAGTCTCCTTTCTCAGTAAGTGCATTTAAGGTATAGGTTTCTCTCGTTTTATACTGTTCATGCATTCCTGGAAAACGGCGCACAACTCAAATTTGCAGAAAGGGAACCCACTATACAATGCAACAAATAGGGATATGTTCCAAGACCTCAACTGTACTGACTCCCAGACCCATTTCTACAAGACAACTTTGGTACTCACCAACAGCAGACAGTACACAAAGCACAGGGTGGTGGTGAACGTTACCATAATGGGGATGGCAACTACAGAAACACAGGTTGCAAACGAGCGAGGAGCACAGATCCACACAGGAGACTATTTTGGTGTGCGTGACTCCCACAATGCACTGCACAAAGCAGCTGACTGCAGGCTTTCACCACACGGATTGCATAAGAGTGAATTTATCTCGCACATAACGAATTTTTGGTATAAAGAGGGTCATCGCATAAGACTGAATTCGCACATACAGAACCTGCATAAAAGCGAGGGAAACCTGTAGTATACAAAGTTTCTGGGTCCCTCCATGCATTTCTTACATGCCTCTTGAAGGGTTAAACTGTAAACATGAATGACAGTGGAACTCTGGGAAATCATATGCTAGAGGTCCAGGGGGAAGGAGGGCGGTGACTTGGAGAAGCATTGGGTTTTGAACTGCTTTTGAGGCATAAGGCATAAATACCCGGCATTGTAGAGACCCACTTCTGAGAAGGTGAACAAAATAGCATACAGAATCCAGCAGGCATCTCAAAGACACTCTCTGGACACTGCTCAGACTGTGGGTTTAGGACCCCATGAGATCCAAAGCAAGAAAAGAGTGACCACGTATGGGACATCACCCAACCACAGTGAAGAAATATACATAAACTATATTTATAATCAATCTATATCTGTGACAAATACTGACAGACAATTCTGAACTTCTCTGGAGAAAGGGGAAAAGCAGGGAAATCTGCATGTGATACCATTACATCACAAATATCCAGCCCAAAGGTATTTGGAAACTCTAGATTTTAAGGTTTTTTTTCCTCAAACGTTTTCAGTTTTGGATCTCATATCTAGACTAATAATTCCAAAATGGTGTGCTGCAGCACCTGTTCCTATGTGAGGAGGTAAGTGCTTGCTCTTCCCCCCTACTGTGGTCCATGATCGTTTTTTCCTCCCAAAGAGTCTATTCTCCTTTCAAATTTTCTGATAAGCTATACAAGTCAGGCGCCTTAAGTTTCTCACTTTAAGGTGTTTGCTCCAGCCCCTGAATCATCTTTGTGATTTCTTATCCCTATCTCCAATTCTTTAAACATTTTTACTAGGTGTATGCAGAACTCCAGCATCAGTCTTCCAATGCTGCAGAGATAAAAATCATAGGTGCTTGTATAAGTGATGAAAACTGCCCATTTTTGTGGTTTAATTGCATGTCACTGTACACATATGGGTTTCTCCCCTCCCCCCCAATTTAAAGGAGTTTGGTACATTGCAAAGTAAATCACATCCACATATAGTTTAGTTTTCAACGTAGCTATTTGTAACATTGCAGTCTTTTAACAGCTTGCTTTCACCACTGTGGGAGAGGCAGGTTGAAGACCCTCACTACTTTTTTCTTTCCCACCCCCACCAATGGAGCCTGTCCATGTGAGCTGCCAGCAGGCTGAGGGCCCCCGAGTTGCAGGGGGGGCTGGGGGTGGGGTGGGGGGGCAGTCCTTCTCTCTGCAGTGGCAGCATCCCTTGGGGCCTGCTCGGGGGAGCCGCACCTGGCTGCTAGTGGGCTGGGTGTGGCCCCAACTTGGAGGCAGAACCCCACCACATCCAACTCTTCCCTGAGCCCACCTGCTGGAAGCCCACCAGGCACAGCTCCCCGGGTAGGCTCAGGGAAGAGCTGAATCCAGCAGGGTACTGCCTCCAAGCTGGGGCAGCCTCTGGCCCGCTAGCACCGCACCTGGGTGGCCCTTGGGGGTGCTGCTGCTGCCACCATGGAGGGAAGGATCAATCCCCCATCCCCACAGCTCAGGGGCTGCTCAGACAGGCTCTGCCAGGGGGCAGGGGAGTGGAGGAAGCAGCAAATTGTAATCACCACAATTAAAAATCTACCATTTCAATTTTGGGGACTAAAACCCCGTTACATGTACAAGTGCACCATCTCACTAATTCCTACTCGCTACTCTTCTGTTTATACATTCAAGCCTCACAGTAGCCCTTTTTCTACAGTATGGTACTGAACTCAGGTTCATCTGCTTGCTAAAAGAAATGTTAGACCCTTTTCAGAGAACTTGTTTTCCAAGGTACAGAACATAATTTTGTTGGCCTGGCCAGCATCCATTCATAGATTCATAGATGCTAGGGTCGGAAGGGACCTCAATAGATCATCGAGTCTAACCCCCTGCATAGGCAGGAAAGAGGGCTGGGGTTAGATGACCCCAGCTAGATGCCTATCTAACCTCCTCTTGAAGACCCCCAGGGTAGAGGAGAGCACCACCTCTCTTGGGAGCCCATTCCAGACCTCGGCCGCTCTAACTGCGAAGAAGTTCTTCCTAACGTCCAGTCTAAATCTGCTCTCTGCTAGCTTGTGGCCATTATTTCTTGTAACCCCCGGGGGCGCCTTGGTGAATAAAACCTCATTGTTTCTAGACAGCCAATTTCAGATTCATCTACATCAAAAACATACTGTTTGAACAGGCACAGTTCCTTAACTACCTGTTTTAAGTGATCCAGACTGCTCTGTACTATTCCCTGTATTTATTTACAATTTTGCCAAATGTTATATAATCTTCAAATATTATCAGTGTGACTTTATATTTAATTCTGATCTCCAATGCAACTGTTTGAAGTGAAGCCTACTTCCCACTCCTGCAGAACCTGAGAAGAAATGCCTTCACAATTTGTCAATGAAGAATCACCATCAGATACCAGCTGATATCTGTCAGTTAGCCAATACTTAATCAATTTAAAGCATTTAATTGATACTACATAGTGCTGGTTTTAAAAAATGCTGTGCAGTATACAAATCAAATGTTTTATAAAGATTAAGTGCATCTGATGTAGTTTTCTTTATGTACCAAACTTATAACTGCAAAGAATCATCAGGAATATACAACAAGTCAAACCTGTGGTGGTCAGACTAGACCATAAAACCATGCCAACTGGCAATAATTCTGTTGTTGAATTGTTTAATTCTTTAGCTGAGTCTGGCATGAAACTTTTGACTACTTTGTAGTATTCCTTTAGATTTTTAGAATTTGTCTGAAGCCCCAAAATTTGTTAAAAAAGAACATCAGCAGGGCAGAGATCTCATCAGCCAACTTTCATATTTTTTGTATGCAAGCCATCTAGGCTGATGTTTAAAAACATTTATGCCTGTGTACATGTTGTCTAATATCCTCTTTAGTTACTAATGGATTGGAAAGTATTCTGTCAGCCTCATGTGATATATCATCATGCTTCATTCCAAAATGAGAACATAAACATTTATTGAATACATCTGCCTCCTGTGCATCATTATTAACAGCTTCACTATCTCCACCTAGTGACAGGTCTGTATTATTGCTAGGACTCCTTTTGCTCCAATACACTTAAACCCCATACATATACTCCTCCTTAGCCTTGACAGGCCCATATTTCCCCCCCCCCTTATTTTTTACTTCTAATTTATAACAATTGCCTCTACTCCCACTTCTTCTACCTTTTGACTATATATACACACACATTTCCTTCACTTAGCCAAAGGTATCCTCAAGACTTCCCGATCTTGACTTTTTGGCCAAAAAACCCTTAAAGAGTTCTCAGGTTCCATTCATGTTTTTAATCCTGACAGTTTGCTCATATTTTTGTTTAGTTTTGAAAAATTAGCCTTTTTTAATTTAATTATATTTTATATTATTATATTTTACATGCATGTTATATACACTTGGCTGAGACTGTTATTATTTTCTCATATTGAATGCAATTAGGTCTCAATCACTAATGCCTAGGTATGTTATCAATTCCAGTCTGGTGATTAAAGGGTTGGCTACATTGCCTCAGAAAAGTCAGTCCAATTAAGTTTGTAAAGTGTTTTATAAATAAGCTGCATCAAATGCTTGGGTGAGCTCACAGACTCAAAATTAGAATAGCCCTAATTCAGGTGAGCTTAATTCATACTATTCATTAATGTTTTAACTAATTTTAAGTCTACTATTTTTCTTTCTACATGTTTAGAGGCAGCTAATTCATTTAACCTCATTTTTATGGTTTAATTCAGTAGTTTGTAACAAACACCCCCTCTTTTAATTTCTTAGTTATCATATTGATTTATTATGCATTCAAGATCTTTCGGTTTTCAGTTAACATTAATGTTGAGACATTGGTCCATTAACGTAACCCTCCTCCCAGACCTTTTTTTTTTTTTCTTTCTTACACCTTCCTTTCTGAACAAGTTTATAAAGCAGGATTTTATTATATGCATTCAAATCCTTTTCAGTAATACTAAATATATCAACTTCCTACTCATTAACAAGATCCATTTCTAGCTTGTCAAATTGTCTCGATTTTTTTCTGTTTCAGATTTAGTTTCAGATGAGAGATGTACAACCCCAGTGTTCCTCACAACTTCCTTTGAACTGTTAGCTTAGCTTCTTTAACTAGTTTGTAACTAAGAAGATTAGCTCCCTGCTATGATTTGCAATCTGCCTTGTATCTACAGACCTCTTACTAAGAAGTGATCCAATGCTTTCAGGCACAAAATCTTAACTTTCATATACTTGCATCATTGGCATAGCCAATTGTTCAGTAACTACAGATTTTCCCCCTGTTTTTTCCCTTCTTTGAAACTGGAAAGGATTGCTTGGAATTCCCCAAGTTTCTTATAATTTATGTAGTTCCATGTAATAGTTGCTGGATCCAACATGCATAATCATGGAGATATGCAAGATTACTTTTTATTCCTATCCAGCCTTGCAAATACATCTCTCATTTCTCTCCCAAGGAGACAGCACAACTAGTTGACATCTCTCTTGCTGAATTTTGAAAACACCCAGGTACAGTTTAGGATACTTTTTCACAGCATGTGCATTCAAACCATTAAAACACTGACTTCTAAACAAGACAGTATAGAAAAGTTCCATATGCGTTCTTTCCAAAAGGAATAAATCCCAAAGTAAGGAATCAAACCTCAAAATAATAAATTTATTAAGTACTCAAACATACATAAATGTTTAACCCCTTTGTTGATGTATGAAATTCAGCTATATAAAATCTAGAATTTTCAAAAGGCACTGAAAGGTTTTAGACACTTCTGCTTTTGACATTCAGAGGAAACTGGCTATCTAAATCCCTATCTAAACATAGCATCTTGGGATGTGCAGTCCAGTGCTTATAAATGGAGACTCATCTAAAAATTATACTTGCAGTGATCGGGACATGCCTCAAAGCTTTCCGATCATTAATAATTAAAGTTCACTTAAGAACCATAAGGTTTTTTGGTTGAGTAATGTGTATTTGCTTTAGACCTGAAGAACACAACGTAACCACAGAGCTACATTCAATAATACCAGCAGTGAATCAATTTAATCAGTGAGGTGGAGGGAACACCAGGGTGTGCAGTATAGGGAAGTGTGCAAGTGGGGGGGCAGGTGGTACTTGGCTTGCAGGGTGTGCCACCCCCACCACTTAGAAGTTAGACAGCCCTGTTCAAAGGCTTTCTTGGGTCCTATTACTCTGAGCAGAGGAGGAAATAAAAGGCATGTCAGAACACACAAAGATATAAAAACCCTGCTAAAACAAAAATCTTCCTATGTCAATAAAAACCCTGCCAACACGAAAAGCTTCTTGGCTATTGCATGTACTAGTGCCATCCAGCCTTTCCCAAATGTATGTCCAATTCCCTTATTTTTGGTGTAAGATGAGCAACTGCAATGACTAAACGGAACCCAGAGATTGATCAAGGGAGGGTGGGGAGGGGACATGCATCTGTTGGAGTGTAATAATACTCAAAGGAAAAACAGTGAAAAATGTCTTGGAGTACATGGGGGATTAATGCAGACGAAGCGAAAGGGGGTGCAGCAGGGGAAGGGGAGAAAAAAAATGAGACGAGCTCCGCCAGAACACTTTAAACAGAAGAAAGTGAAAGGAAAGAAGGAAAGGCAAAAAAGAGGAAGTAGGCTGTATTAAAAAAAAGTTAGATGAATCCAGTCAAACTTAAGTAACAGGTCTTCATATACAGAGAATAATGTGGAAATGAAATGATCTTTCTGCATCCATTGAACTTAATCCCCCTCTGGATTCTGTTGTGCAAATACACACTTGGGGACATTTTATACGGAGTATTTATTCAGAAGGCCACACTTAGGGATTGTCAGACTTTTCTTTCTAGTAATGATTTCAAATACTACTGAAAGTTTTTCATCCTGGGCAAATGTAGACAACCTATATGTAACCTGACCATGCCATCTAAAGATCTTAACATTCTTATAATAAAGCTTTTATTCCTAAAACATCCTAGACAGATGCCTTGAAAATCTCCAAAGAATGGAGAAGGAGGCCCTCCTATTCCCTACATAGTTTGTTCTATTGTCCTATTGTTCTCAGATTAAGAACCTTTTCCTAAAATGTTAACTTCATTAGATTGATGTAGTTTAAAACCGCTACCTCATGTGGCAAGGAAAAACAGTTGTTCTCTCTCTTCTTTATGGCAGCCTTTCAAGTATTTGAAAGCTGCTATTATGACCCTTTAAAATTTTTCTGTTCTTTAGACTAAACATATCTATAATTCTTTCAACCTTTTCTTGTACCACTATCATTTAACTTTATCAACTTACTGCTCATCTTTGGATCTTTTTCAATGTCTCTAAATTCTACTTACAATGCAGTGTCCAGCAAGTTCCTTCAGCTTCCTGGAATGAACCCTGTCATGCCCTGTTGACTTAATTTATTCCACAATTAACAAAACGTCACTGACATATTCCTCATTTATGAACTACTTGCTCTTTACCTTCTTCGATTAGGTTAAATGTTAGTGATTAGCTCTCAGATTCTTTTTTTCTTTTTGGAGGTAAAGCAGTGATTTTTTGTAGGCAAAGCAGACCTGCCTTCTTTGCATTTTCTGTTACTAGCTCACCCTTACTAATGGGAGAGGAACCCACAACTCCTTGTTCTTTCCATCTGGCACATTTGAAAACCTTTTTTTGGTCTCTAACATTCCTTGCCAGTTATCTCATTTTCCATACTTTGTTTTTCACCAAACTTCATCACAGTTCCTATAGTTCTCTTAGGCTGAGGTTTGACCACTAGTTTCAAGTTCCATGCTCCCACATGAATTACATAGGTCACAGCTTGATTTACACACCTACTCCACTTTAACACGTGGCAAGCAACTAACCCTACTAATCTCATAACTATTTGCTTATGTCTTATTTTCCTTTTCTGAATGATTAAAAATTAACCCAAAAAAGTTGAATCATTTGTTTCATGATGCAACTAGTATCTTGTTTGCCCTTGTATGCGCATCTAATATGCGCAAATGTCAAATCTGTATGAATATTTGAATTTTTAACCTTCAATTCACTTTAATTAACTTTTTTTAAATTTAAAGACAAATACTTACTAATCTTTGATTTAACCGCTTATTCTCCTCTTCTTTCAGCTGCAATGTCTGTAAAAGACAGTAATTTAAATACGATTACCCAGTAATGTTCATTATACTGCATAAAGATCAAATAGTTTTGAACTGACTAGCACTGAATTTTCCATGCCTAACATACTTTATACTGTATATTTTGCAACTCTAGAATAGTTTCTTTAGATCCTTTTTTACAGAAGAAAAAAAGAAACACTGAAACTTGAAAAAGTCTGACTACCCATGTGCTGCTGAGCTCACTGCCAAACTACTGGGAAACTACTATTTTTTTTCCCTTCCTCTTGCATCCCAGCCAAGAAATTCAGAAGGGATCTTACTAACCTATAAACCAATGGAAAGGCCAAAATCAAATGCCTACGTAAAGCTGAAACTAAGTGCGAATTTTCAGGAGGGAAAGTTGTAGTTGGGGACAAAAAGAAATGAGAAGTAGCTGGTTAATCATTTAGGTGTTTAGTGATGTTTCAAGTAATTAAATATCATGCTCCCACTTTTTCACCACCAAAAATCAGTCACACTCTATCTAAAGCCATACTTAAATACAAAGCAAAACTATGCAAAGCATGATGCACAGCATTTAGAACAGTTTAAATATGGTTCAGACCTGACATGGACAGACATACTAGCCTGTTGAGCCAGTTTAAAACTGCTTAGAGTAGTTCAAAAGCACACCTGGAAAATCAAGTACTGCTGTGATCTGGTCCACTGTGAATCATTTCACTGTTATGTGTGAACACTAAGCATTCTGTGACATAAGCCTTGCTTGTCTTCCTGGCATCATACCCCTCAATTGCAACTGGTCTTTATGGTACACAGCCAAGACTGTCCTCCTATTTTTCCTTTTCTCAGCACTTTTTTTTTTTTTTTTTTTTTTTTTTTTTAAATCAGTGAGCTCACTTGCACTGCATGTTCAATAAAAGCTGTCTTTAACAACCAGCTGTGTCCTCATTCCCTATTCAACTACCCCACTGCCTCATCATGCCCCACCCAGCCCTAGGAAACCTAAAATCATGGGTTTACAGACTCTGTGCTGTGCCCCACATCAGGCAAGCACACTGCCAACTCAGGTCAACTGCAGGCTGTTGGAAGTGAAAGGAAAACATAAGAGCGACAATGCCCCTAACCACAGGTCACCCACCCCTTGGAACCTCCAAAACACAGATGCAAGGACTCCACCCAATTTGCCCACTACAACACGATGGGCTGGGTGTTTACCCTCATCCCCTAGTTTCCAAGAAGCATTTGGGAATACTTTTAACTAGAGGTGCGCTGATACATCGGTCTGATATCGGATCAGTAGTGATATAAAGAAAATTGGCTGTACTGGAAAATGGCCTGATGGCACCAATAATATGGCCGATAAATAACCGTGCTGCGTTCAGCCACAACACAGCACTAAGGCAGCGAAAAGCAGAGCCAACAGCATGGAGAGCTGCCTCCACCTGGTAGGTCTGTGTGGCAGAAGGGGTAGGGAAGGGGTGGGAGGCAGATCAATGCCCGTCTTGATGAGGGAGGGAGGGGACAGGGGCAGACACCACCCAGCTGGGGGTGGGGGGGGAGAAACAGAGCCGCAGCTCATGGGGGGGTGGCTCCCACCACTGCTTGCATCCTGGGAGGGCATGGGGGGGGTGTGCTCCCAGATCTGCACGGGGTGGGACAGGTGGACTGCAGCTGTGGGCTGGAGCCAGAGCTGTGCGGGGATCTTCTTGCCAGGGGCTGGGCTCAGAGTGAATGCCAGTGGTGCTGGGAGGGGGCTACATCCACCCCAAGTTTCACCACAGCTCCGCTCCCAGTGACGCCAGCTGCCTGGCCCAATGCCCTGCCTCCACCCATGTGCTGGGAAGAGCCGGGGCTGTGCCGGGCAGCTGGCACTGCTGGGAGTGGAGCTATGCGAAATCTGAGGTGGCTGCAGCTCCCTCCCAGTGCCGCTGGCGCCCACTCCAAGCCCCACGTAGCTCCGGCTCCAGCCTGCAGCTGCAATCTGCCCATCCCATGCAGAACCATGAGCACGCGCAATGGCGGAAGCCACCCCCCCCCCCCCCCCCCC